TCTGGTCTTTAAAAAGCCTTAAATAATTAAGACATACCGTCACTTATATATATATATATATATATATATATATATATATATATATATATATATATAATGTCTTGTTTATAACGTTTCGTTTTTATGCGTGTGGCCGTCTTCAATGCACGTGCATAGAATCGTGTCATGATTCATTATGTTAGGCTAGGTACACATGGACAATTCAAAAATTATATTCCATTTGCAATATTTGATAGCTAATTTATTCCCTGACTTTTCAAGACCTTCCGCAACATTTGGTACAAAAATTTAATATTTCAGGAATTGTTCAAGAAATATTAGTTCATGCCCATAATATTTATATGAAAATTGGTCAAGCAGTTTGCAAAATAAACCAATATTATGGAAATTCTAAGTTACGTTCCAATTTTTATACAAAATGATACTATATACTGTCAAAACGCCATGTATTTGCTGTGTGCAATCATCGTTTTTTTGACCATCATGCGTTTTCTTGGTTAGATTTTTCATCTAAAACGCCTGACTGCACAGCAACCACTTAGGAAATTGGCAGTTTTTAGTATCATTTCATATGAAAATTGCTACATAGCATAGTCTTGCCATAACATTGGTCTATTTGAAGGCAGAATCGGCCTCTTCTCGACGTCTTCAGCAATTCTGCATCACGTGGCACAAAAATTGGAAAAATTAAAAAAAAAACGTGAAATAAAACAAAATATTCAATGGATATAATATGAATATACTTATAGCTAGTTTATCCCTTAAAATGATGTCAGAAAATAAATGTCCATTATACCAGCTTTAATGTTTTTTTCCTATGTATACCTATCTTTAACCACGTGCCTCTGACGCCACTCGATGTGTATAAATGCGAACACCTTTTTTTATATTATTAGATCAGCAGAGTGTTTTCATTATAATTTTTTCTTTAAAGTTATTTTTAAAATTGCTCTCGTGCATCTGATGAGAGTGCATGTTTATTTTGGAAATTGGATCAGGTTGAATGAAGACGTCGAAGGAAAGATTTTGAGATTTTAACGGAAACACTTGTATATAAAAAGAAGACTTTTAGTTAATTCAATATTCAAAATGATATTATACACACAGGTATTAAAATAAAATTCTTATGACCTCTTTTATTTTATTTTGTTTTTATTATTTGTTCTTCCTGAATAAAAAGTTTATAGTGTTACCAGAAAATCCAATTTGCTAATTTTATATTTTTTCGACGGTTTAGGTCATTCTCAATCCTGTGGCATCAAAATTCAATAAGCACTGTGTAAATTACTCATAAATTACTATATTGATTTCTTATTGATTAAGTCGATTTAAGAAAAGTTTATGCAACTTGCCTTAAGGCAAAATGCCACTTATACCTAGTTTACTTATTGATGAATCAATATAACTGGGTGGCCCTTAGTAGAAACTATTTTTGGAACAGGATGTGCCCTTTTATTCTTAAATCTTGACCTCGATTGAATAAAGAGTACAATACTTATTGTCCATTGAAAACAAACGGCAATATATATATATATATATATATATATATATATATATATATATTTTAAGGTAAGCCCTTTAAGGTAAATTTTATTCCTTGTGTTAAAATAATTTTATCAAAATATGTTCTCCTAATGCAATATTGTTTCGTTGTTCTGTTTTAAAAATCTTGAAGTTCTATTTTGCATATTTCTGCAAATTTTTATATATCTTCCCAAGATTTATCACATATTCACTACTATTATCGGTCATATAAACTTCGTTAACATTTTAAATAAACAAAAAAGCGCTAAATCGATCTTCAAACAAAACTCTGAATCACTTCTGTTGATTTACTGATCGATCATCGGAGAGTAAATAACTATTCTTTATTCTAGTTTAATTTAAACAATTTGCGAAAAAAGAACAGATGTTTCGAAAACGATTTTAGCAACTGAGTATAAACAATTTGTGTAATAAATTTTAAAGTAGAATTAGTGATTAGTATACAGTAACAATACACCGAGTAGTTAGGCAAAATTTGCTCAAAACCTCAACATTTCTACAAAGTACTGAAAATAAAACTGCTATACAAGCTATCAAAAATTGTAAATATTTTAATACGATTTTAATTGATTTTAAAGTGCAACTGTGGTGATTTATATCCTCTGGTCGTTAAATACAAATATTTTTTTCTATCTACTAAAATGCATCTACAAATGCATTTTCTTTCCTCTTCTCGAAGTTATTATTAGTAAACTCGTGCCGGAGCATCGAGATGGCAATAAATTAAAAATTAATTGCACACAAGTAAAAAATAAGAGTAAAAACAGACACAGAGTCTTAAGATATCGATAAGAGTTCAATTGCCTTTCGATTCGAAGAATTGCATCGACTTTGTCTAATATTAATCAGAAAACAGTTGGGATAAATAATTTATTTATAATAAAATTGACAGGTTTAATAATAAAATTCGAAATGATTAACTTTAAAATTTAATTAAAATGAATGCTATAGCATTCACGTACCAGAACGTGTTAAATATAATTATCTACATCACAATTTATATTTAAAAACAACAAAAAATTCGCGTCCCAACATTACCGGTACCGCCGATTTGCGCTTGACCTGAAACGACGTGGACTTTCAGGTTGGGACACAATTCGGCGTACCGGTTTCCCTGGGACAACAGAAATTGATACTTCTAATATGAATTATTAACATACATATATGCATATATATATATATATATATATATATATATATATATGCATATATATGTATCATTTAAAATTGCATTATTATGCGACTAATGTATCATTTTTCAATTCTATTCCCCCGGAAACAAATGCTAAATCAGCCAATTTCTTGGTAATCATCGATGTTTTTGAGTTATTTTTGCCGACATAAACACGTTCAGTCGTTTTCTTTATTGTATATTAGTTCGGATTCTGTTTTTTGTTTACAATTAGCAAAGTTTTAGCGAATTCATAACAAATGAACCCAGATTCGAAATTAACCTCTTTGTCAATTGTTTGATAAATAAATTTATATTTAGGTTTAGGAATACACAACTTGGTTTAATTTTATATAATTGAATTATATATATATATATATATATATATATATATTATATATATAATATTATAGGTTTTCAGTTTGTATTTTATCAGTTTAGAATGTTTTGTGGATACTGACAAACCTTTATTTAGTCCCATATAGGAATTTTTACTCTATATATCAGATTTCAGCAAAAAGGAGTGCCACTTTATATATAAATATATATATATATATATATATATATATAATTGTATTAGCAATTTACAATAAATTGTCCAAAGGTATAAATTTTATAAGAAATTCATTGAACAAATAATATTTTGCTTTTCGTTAGTTTCTTATTCTCTTGGTCCTTTTTAGTTTATTTTGTTAAAACATAAAACACTTCATTAAAAACAATATAAATTAAATAACAAATATCATAAATACTTATAATTTAAAACATATTGAAAATAATTTAAAAATTTTAATAAACAAAAGCGTATTTATTACATTTTTTTTAAAAAAATCACTTTTTCAACATAATTTTAAAAGGTACACGATTGTATATAATATTATTATTAAATTACTTATTTGGTATGGAATATTTTTAATATAGATTTTAAAAGATTAAATCACAACAATTCAAATTTATATAAATATCACAAATTATATAAACGTCCCAAATTAAATAATAAAATATAAAAAAAGCAAATAATATTTTTTTACAATTGCATGTGTAATGATCATTTATAAATTAAAGATGGACTGTGTTTAGTTTTTTGCCAAAATATCAATTAATACAGCTTGCTTATGAATAAATAAATATTACATTATTATATATTATGTACTAGATAAAAATAAACATAAATCGAACTGTTAAAATAGTCGACATGATTTTAGAGACGTGAATTAATATTTGCGACATTTTATTGCACGCGATCATGCGACATTTGCGATTTCGAAAGTATATTATATGACTTTGAATAAATATGTAATTAGAGACATAAATATACATTATATATTTATACCCATATATATATATATATATTTATATATATATATATATATATATATACTAGCAAACCCGACGAACTCCGTTTTGCCCCCAGATGGTTTAGTGAGAAAGATGAAGAAATTTTTTGTTTGTTTTATATTTGAAAAGGAAAAAAATTATTTTATTGCACAACAGTAATGAATTTATTTCGATTACAAAAATGAAGTATTTTTTAGTTGAACTTTTCTAAGTAAATGAAAGTGAATCCGCAAATTATCCGTTTCATTGAAGTGCTCTTTGGTAAACCACATTTTTTGTTTTTTGGTCTGACGTTAACACAAACAAAGCGGATGGTTTTCCAACTCGTGAGCAGGTAACGTGTAACTGCCCATGTGAAAAACAATGATTTTCTAAATGGCACAATGCCATGCACCACTAATTTTCTTAGCTATAAACCTTGCGGAACCCGATACCTTTCCAACGAATGCAAAATAGTCGAAATCGGTTTGTGCGTTCTGGAGTTATTTCGTCTGGAAGAAAAACCCGACTTATTTTTATATATATAGAAGATATATATATGTATATATATATATATACATATATATATATAAATTTTTGTTTATTTTAGTATTTAATGTTAACATATGTATCAAGAGTCAACTAATGGGGCTGAACTTAAAATTAGCCAAAGTTTCTAAAATGTCTTCGGACATATAAAAACAATTTCAAATACAATACAATAAATTTCAAATTTCAATTTTGAATAAATTCAAAACTGAACTTACTGGACTTATAAAGTCTAATACGACTTTACTAACATTTGAGGCAAATTTATTCAAACGACGTTTCGCCGAAGGTTGTTTCATTCAACTATGATAAGGAATTTGAATTAAGAAACTTAACAACGACTTGCCTTTATTTATATTTATCTGAATCCTAATTGTTTAAATTTATGAACTAACAAATTGTTTTTTTTTTCTTTCAGTATCAAAATGCCAGAACTTTTGCCACCATCGTCAATCCGGGCGACACCGACAACGCCGACGGCCCGGAATTTAGTCCGACGGCCATACAACCGCAACCTATGGAACAAATTGTCATGACACCAAGGTAAATAAATAAATAATAAGATAAATTTTATCACTATTAACTAATAATAATGAATAAATAATCACCAAGCAACTTTTGTATTAGGCATACTTTATAGTAAAAATATAAATAATCTAAGTGTAGCTTAAAGTTTCAGAAATATAAAAAAATCTTAGTATGTATTTTTAATTTTTATTTATATGTCTTTTTATTTCAGGCCTCGTAGAGAAGGGGCAACAGTTTTGCTAGTTGAACGCAAAATGGCGGCACAACAAAATGGCGGCGTCCCACATCAAAATGGCGGCCACACACAAAATGGCAGCAACGGCCAGAATAATAATAGTAGAGTGCATATTGCTGGAGGCGATCACACTGGAATTGTTATAAACAAAGATGCAATTAATGGTAAATAATAAAAATATTTTTGTTAACAAAAGTTGGAGAAATATATTTTGCCGTTTGTACTATAATAAAATAAAATAATAAATATAGGGTCCGCCAACTAGCTTTTTTTGAAAAATTCCTTAAAAAATCTACTGAATATTTTGCCAATTTTCTTTTTGTTTGAAAATTCTATTAAAAAGCCACTAAATATTTTCACTTTTTTTATTTGAACGTGAAATGTAAAGAGTGCAGAGTACACAGTAGGGTTGCTTAAGTCGTACCCCCCAAAAAAAAGAAGTTATTTGGCTGACCCTATAATTATAGTTATTTAAATAAAACTTTAAAATATACATTTATGTGTGAATTTTCTTTTTAGAAAAGAGCTTTCAGTTCAGGAAAAAAATATAAATAATAATAGCTATTTGGAAAAGCTTAACTGAAAATAATATATATATTTCTGAAAAATTAAATAATTTCTTTATAAAGAGGAGGATTATATTAGTTCAGAAAAATAAATTCATGAACGATAATAGCTATTTAAAAAAAACAACTGAAAATATTCATCTGTTTTTTTTTTCGAACAAATGAGGTTTTAGCTATTTAGCAAAAATTAAATTAAAATATATTATAATATGGGTGTTTTTAGTAAAAAAAAGACTTACGTGAAAAAGTTAAACTTGAACACATAAATTTTTATACTCTCATTTTTTTTATTAATAACGGCGTTGTTTGTGGGTGCGAGGGTACTATATTTTATTTTCTTATTTAATTTATGAGTATATAGAGTTGTTTTAGGGTGTTTTGATGTTAGACAATGTTGTACATAATTTAATTTTGTACAAATTTGCTGAATATTTCATGTATTTTGGACGTACGGTTTAAAAGTTACAAGATTTATAATATAGGGTATGCCAACTAACATTTTTCATTTTTATTTTCATTTTTTTTTCAACGGTCAGCGGAGGCTTTTTTTCTTCATTTTTGAATTAAATTATTAACTGAATTAACTTCATTATTATCTGAAAGGATTGTACTTTCAGATAGAAAAAGGAATTTTAGAAAAATATTCAGTAGTTTGTAAAAAAAATAAAGTTATTTGGCGGACCCTATAAATAAATGCATGAGCGTTGTACGACCTCTGAAATCTGTTATATTGTCCTACATTCAGTTCAATTTTGAAGTACACCGAGTTGTTGTAGAGTCTCATGATGTTAGAAAATATTGTAGATTATCTAATTTTGTACAAATTTGCCGAATATTTCATGTATTTTAGACGAACGGTTCAAAAGTTACAAGATACATGTATGAGCCTTACACGACTACTGAAATCTGTTATATTGTCCTACATTCAGTTGTAATTTTAAAGTACACCCAGTTGTTGTAGGATCTTACAGTGTTAGAAAATATTATAGATTATCTGATTTTGTACAAATTTGCCGAATATTTCATGTATTTTAGACGAACGGTTCCAAAGTTACAAGATACATGTATGAGCCTTACGCGACTACTGAAATCTGTTATATTGTCCTACATTCATTTGCGATTTTGAAGTACACCGAGTTGTTGTAGGGTCTTATGATGTTAGAAAATATTATAGATTATCTAATCTAATTTTGTGCAAATTTGCCGAATATTTCATGTATTTTAGACGAACGGTTTCAAAGTTACAAGATGCATGTATGAGCCTTACACGACTACTGAAATTTGTTATGTTGTCCTCAGTTGAAATTTTTGAAGTACACCGAGTTGTTGTAGAGTCTTATGATGTTAAAAAATATTATAGATTATCTAAATGTGTCTTATCAACATTGTGTACAAATTTGCCAAATATTTTATTTATTTTGGACAAATAGTTTAAAAATTATTTAATAAATAATAAATAAATGTCCTAGAATGTAACGAGGCATTGAAGTTGGCTCATTGAGCGTTCAGATTGATAGTGCATTTTTAATTACGATTTTGAAGTATACCGAGTTGTTGTAGAGTCTTATGATGTCAGAAAATATTGTAGATTATTGAATTTTGTACAAATTTGGCGAATATTTCACGTATTTTGGACGTACGGTTTAAAATTTACAAGATATATAATAAATAAATGCATGAGCCTTGCACTACTATTAAAATCTCTTTACTGTTTTGGGTGCGTTTGTAATATTGTCCTGCATTCAGCTGCAATTTTAAAGTACACCCAGTTGTTGTAGGGTCTTATAGTGTTAGAAAATATTGTAGACAATTTAATTTTGTACAAATTTGCCGAATATTACATATATTTTAGACAAACTGTTTAAAAGTTACGAGAGATACAACAAAGAAATGCACTACACATCAGTTTACCAGTACATTTATTACCATGCTAAAAATAGTGTAGGAGCTAATACCAATTCAGCACTTGTTCCTTATCGATTTCTCACTAATGTATTTCCGATTGATAATGACTTTCTTTATCCAAGTTTGTTATGATGTGGGACATCATCATTTGTATTTATATTTATACTCCCTTTTGGAGGCCCTGGCAGAAAAAACGCAACAAAATCGCGTTATTCTATTTCGGGCATCGGATATAACTCGGAAGGGCATATTATTAACAAGATATTGATCCGAACATTAGCGACAAGGCCGAGTAGAACGACAAATAATGCGAATCGTACCATTTTGTCCCCAAGAGAAGATAAAGGAGGATCGGTGAAGGAATTTAATAGAATTTGCTAGGATTTGGTGAATTTGGGTAGTGGATATTGATTGTGGTGGTTGTTGGTCGGATGAGACAAAATTTAGGTGTCTGTGTAATTTTTTGTGGTTTTTGGTGAGGTCTACATAGTGCGAGTACTTTTTTGGTGGAAGAAAATTGCGGTTACGTAATTGTGTGCGACTCAAGTTTGTAATTGTCCAAGATCGTGCATAAGAATGGAATAACTGTTGTTTTGATGCTTATTTCTGAAATTTGAAGTTGTTTTACTTGTGTTCTGTTGTTTTGGTCATCATTAAGTATATATCAAATAATCCAGGTAATAACAATCGTTACTTTGTTTGATTTTGGTACAATCTGGTGCAAATCACTTACAAAATTGTTAGAATTAAGGAGCAAGTGCATTATTTTTAAAATTTGAAGTAGTTGTAGTTGATAAAACAACCAAGATTAAGGCAGACTCTTTACCTTTTCTGCTAGATATCTCCTTGTGCAAATTATCAAGTTACCATGATTGCAGTCTACATGATCAACCTGATTTTTTTTCTTTCCCAATCTGGTTCAAATCACTTATAGAATTTGTGGAATTAAGAAACAAGTGCATTATTTAAGGGGCACAACTAGTGTAACCGCCTAAAAAAATGTGATTTTTGGGAATTTATATTAAATAAAATACTTTTTCAATCATTTCAAAATTTTAAGAATATATTTACACACGTTTTAAGAATACATAGTAAAATTTTTGAAGAAAAAAATTAAATATTTTTTAAGTTATCGTCGATCTCCAACGGCGCGAAAAAAAAGAGGCTGCAGTGATTCCGGCCTTCTACGTGGATGAAATAAAAAAAAAATTCTCGTTAAACTAGATAATATGTTATGTAATAATATGTCTGTAAAATGACCTACAATAAAAAATCAAAAATTTACAAAATGACGGCGTTTTTTTTAAAAAAAAAGTCGAATTTTATCCAAAATTTTGGTCGTTTTTGGACTGCCAAAATTCGATTTTTGATCCGATCAAAAAATCGATAGTTCATTTTACGAAGAACTATATATAGAACATGTAAAAAAAATTCGATAGTGATCGGATCATTTGTTTTTGCGTAATCGCTGCAGCAAATTCGGAAAATGCTGTTTCGAAAAAAACGCGTTTAAAGATAAAATGTTCGTTATACTATATACTATATATATACTCTTTAAATGACTATCACTCAAAAACTATTTAAGACATCGATGTAAAATTTTGGTATGTTATTTTCAAAGGTTTAACCTATCGAAATATGGTAAAAATTGAAAATTCGATTTTTTGAACATTTCACATTAGGTGTGCCCCTTAAAAATGTGGTTGTGATTGATAAAACAACCAAGATTAAGAAATACTCTTTATCTTTCCTGCTAGATATTTCTTTGTGCAAATTATTAAGTTACCACCATTGCAGTCTCCTTGTTTACAAATTCTGATATTTTTATCTATTTTTTTTTTTAGATCAAGTTGGTCCAATCCTCCCAGCAACATTATCCTTAGAATTCCGAGTATTCCTGGTAAATGCAACCAGTGGCAGTCATTCCAGAGAATCCAGAATTTTAAGATTCTGGTTCAAACCATCTTTACCAGAATTCGAACACGCACAAATTGCCCAAGAATTCTTTAGGGAGCTGGTCAGCCCTCAGGAATTTCCTCGAGGTAACAGAAAATAGTAATAGATGGATAGATGTTTAGATCTGTTAGTAATAGATGGATAGATGTTTTTAATATGTAATTTTTTGCTGATGTTTTGTTATTTTTTTGCAGATTACGTTGGTTTTATTAAGAAAATTATGAAGTTACTACAGCATAGTTTTAAGGATATAAGTGCTGTCGAGGTGGAACTTAGGCAATTGGATGATTCTGCACCTTTGCCTGCCAGACCATGTAAGTAACCAGAATATTATTTATATATATATATATATATATATATATATATATATACTAGCTGACCCGGCAAACGTTTTGAGCAAATATAAACTACATTATGAAAACCAAACCAATTATATCACAACAAATGACACATTTTAAACGAACAATTATCTGACTACGTTCAGTAAAACTGCCAGCTACTTCATCATTGTAGAAATGTGCTTTTTTGATGTCTTTCAAAAATTTGTTATCTAGACCTTTTAAACTCATAGAAGGGGTAACTTGGAACGGCCAGGTGGCAAACATGTTTAATGTGTTATTTGAATTTTAAAGGTATTTTACAAAATAATTACATTTTTAACTAATGCTAAACTTTAACAAATAGAAGAAAATGCTTTTAATATGGATTTTCGAAGATTACCGTTTATCTCTCGATAGCAAAGTCATGAGAATCAAGGTTATAGCTGGTTACACATATTTTTCCCTCTGCTTTCAAATATTGTTGTTAAACAATGTTTAACTTTACTGGTTTTTGACACATCGGAGTGGACCTTTTTAACCCCGTACCTTCATATATTACTATCTATTCGATAAATTCTTGGAAATTATAACTGGGAAAATGTTATTCGACAAAATGTCCATTTGATCGATACAAAATTTAGGTTCTGAATTTAAATAACATAACCTAGAAAATATTATATAAATACCATTGAGTATAATAATTATACAATTGAGATCTTTCAGAGCGCCGTATTTGAGAAAAATATGCCAAAAAGTGCATTTTAACATTTCAAAAATGTTGATATTGTTTAGTTTGTAGTAACACTTGCGGCCCTATTACATGATTTTACTGAATTGCAAATTTATAGCTGTTTTTATAAGAAACATATGTGATTTTATATTTTTATAATTTAGTACATATATTAAGAAATAACATACGAAAATTTTGTAACTCTAGTATAACGTTTTATATTGTTAAATATTTTTCAAAATACTCATCAAACCGTCGACTTGCAACTATTGCAAGAGTGCATTTGTTTACAAAATTGCACATTTATAGCTTTTTTTGTTAGAAACATATGTGATTTTATATTTTTATAATTGAGTACATATATTAGGTAATAGCATACTAAAATTTTATAGCTCTAGTATAATATGGTATATTTTTAAAACATTTTTCAAAAGTACTTCTCATATCATATCCAATCGTCGATTCGCAACTACTAAAAATAGAGTATGCAAGTGTGCATTGCAATTATTTAGTTTCTTCTGTTAGAAACATATTTGATTTTATATTTTTATAATTCAGTACACATATTAAGAAATAACGTACTATAATTTCATAACTGTATTACAACGCTTTATATTTTTAAAATATATTTTAAGCTGTCAATTTGTTTACGTCAAAACGTTTACTAACATTTTTGTATATAAATATAACTACGAACAAAACTACTTACTACAATTTAATCATAATTAAGTAATATTCACGTAAAACACCCTATTAAACGTAATTGAACATCATATGTCTTGAACGTTTGACATTTGACGTATTAGCCGCCTTCCATTGTTTTATTCAAATTACGCTTCTACAAAAATTTTCAAACTAAAAATGTAAAGTTTTTACGCGATTTTGAAATAATATCTCACCTTTTCGACAACCTACTGATTAGCACAATTTTTTCAAGACTAAGACTGGCCAAATCGGTTTAGCCGTTTTCGAGTTTTAGTGGATCATTTTATTGAGAGCTCCATTTTTATATATAAGATGTATATATATATATATATATATTTATATTTATAAATAGGCAAAAATGTCAATTACTCATTGATGTGTTTTTACTATCTTTTTACTATTAGTTCTAGATATTATATAAATATCTATTTATTTATTAAAATTATTTAGACCGACAGCGCAGACAGGTCTTCGATGTTGGAAAATGCTTTCGACAAGGTTTGGATTAAAAAATTGCAATAATTAGTCGTTTTGGCACTAATTATGATATGTTGATAACTAATTAACAGAAAGCTTACTTTGAGGAATTTTAAAACTAATTTTAATCATTATTTTTGGCTGCGTTTAATTTTTTTTCAGATTGAAGAGACTGATGTATTATTTTGTTTGTTGGATTATTAATATGTTTTGCGTTTTGGTATTCAACACTAAACCTATAATAATAATTGATAGATAAATATTGCATTTATTTTGTGTTTATATATATATAATTTATATATATATATATATATATATATAATATATATATATATATAATATATTGAAATGAATAAAACAGCCAATGCGTCGAATGTAAAGAATTTATTTTAATTTTTTATACGTTTCGAGACTAGATGTGTCTCATCATTCAGCTAAAAGAAATATATATATATATATATATATATATATATATATAAATGCAGTGATGGCACATATCAAGTCTCGAAACGTAAAAATAACAGAGTGTTAGTATTTATTAAAAAAAATTATTTGACGAACTGTTTGCTTATATATTAACTTATAACAAATAATGAAACAATAATAATAATAAAATCTCTGTAATAAGACTAACTTTTTTATTTAAATTTTGTGTAAGAATGAATTAAAAAGTACATACAACCCTAAATTTTAGCCTTCCAACATTTTTTTTAACCTTACTGTATTTTTATTTATGGTCTTTTGATGATAGTTTAACAGTTTTTATACGTTTTTTTTTTGCTTGATTATTTTTTACTTATAAATTACACTAAGTTCCCAATTATTATTAATACTAGCTGGCCCGGCGAACTTAAATAGGCAATAAAAATAAAAATAAAATACCAACAAAATATAAATTAACAACAATTAACTAATTATGTAAATATATATAACTATTTACAGTTTTATTACAAATTTTGAGGTTATGTTAAGAAACTATATTTCAAAATTATTTTTTTTATTAATTTGTCAATGATTATACTTATTGCTGATTATAAACACCTCAAATACTCTATTTAAATACGTATAAACAAATATACATAAATACCTAAGTATATAAATAATTACATTCTCATTTTCAAGAAATAAATTTCTCCTATTATTAAGAATTAATTTATTTACTTCGTAATAATAAATAAAAACAGCGGTTGACAGTTAAAAGTAAAAGTCATGGATAAAATATGAATCATAGATTGAATAAACTAAATGGATAGTTTATAATTAATTAATTTTGAATTTAAATGAAAAACGGAATAAAAAGTATTCTTTGGTTTTTCTCCTCTCTCTAAACTACCTCTCTGCCAATTTTCAGCTAAATCGGTTCAGCCATTCGTGAGTTATAAGTATTGTAACTAACACTATCTTCTTTTATATATATAGATGCAATACAAAATTCGAATTATATATTCATTTATATGTATATATTCAAAAAGTCAAAATAAAATTGTAGTTCGTCAAATTTTTGTTTCTCAAGTCAATTTTGCAATAAACTACTGTTTTTTTTTAATAAGTACGAATATTTTTACAAATCTAGCTCTCTGATTAATTTTATAGTTAATATATATTTACACAAAAAATGGTTAAAATAATTTCGGTTAAATAAAAATGATTTAAAATTATTTTATTTAAAAAAATATATTTAAAGTAGGTTTAGTGTTGAACATGCACGCCTTAGTATAAATATAAACAAAAAGTTATTAAACAAAATAAAAATAGTTTTAATTTAAACTAAATTTTAGTATAGAAACATGTAACCGATTACATTAAATTAGTTACATTTTGATTTTTGTTTGTTATTAATATTTATATGTAGTGTGGCACAAAACGCACGTTAAAATAAATAATTTTTATATAAATTTTCAACTTAATTAATGTTTTTAATTATTTTTTGCAGTGTCTTCAGATGATAGTATGCTTGTTGTGCAAATTACAGTCGACAAAGTGTTAGAATTGATAGAATCTGCATATCCAAATCCAATAACTATACAGGACATTGCTGCGTAAGTAGATAATTTTTTTAAAATTATTATATGATGTATGGTCTCAATAGACCCCTAAACTACTGAACCGATTTTAAATTTTATTGGCTTATTGTATGCATTTATATCCCACTTAGGTTATAGGCTATACTCAAAATCTCAGTTCGTAGTTGAAATATTTATTATAATGTATATTATAATAATATTTTCAAATCACGATACCTAACTGTTATATTTCAAACGTTTTTTAAGTTTTAAAAATCGGTTCAAGATTTATTCCTGGACAAACTTTGCACTTATCTAATCATTAAGTCTCTAATCAGCCTTAAGGCAAAATGCCACTTACAGCTAGTTTATCAATACATGTTACTAAAAAATTTTTATTTTTTTTTATATATAGAACATTTTAGTAAAAATGTTCTATTAACGCTTACCATGCATATCCAAGCCTAAGTGAAAATGTATGGGAAAGCGTTGTGTTAGGTTCGGACGACATGGCAAGCACTCGCGATGTTCTAAAGAGAAAGTTGCTAAATCTTAACTACAGTTGATAATTAATAAGAGAAGTTTATGCAACTTGCCTGAAGGCAAAATTCAAAGAAAATCTAGCTTAATTATCATTAATTCAATTGTATTTTTTAGAGAGAATAATTGGGATGAGAACGACGTGGCCGATTGTTTGAGACAATTGCAGGAACAAGGGCTGGTTAAGGCGATGGAATTGGATTCTTATACCAGAGTTCAACATCAGGACACCCAAATACAGGTAAAAAATAAATTATATATATATATATATATATATATATATATATATATATCATATTTGGTTAATAGATTTAAATTATTGGCAATCATTTACAAGGTCAATTTTGCTGACATCTTAATGTTTTTCACTTATGATCTTTCCAGAGTATTTGTATATATATATAAAGAATATGTATATATATATATATATATATATATATAAAGCGAGAGGTTTTTCTTCAGATGGTGAAATAATATAATAAAATTGTTTCTTGGGCATCCATCCAGTAATTAAAAAACAGTTTTAAAGAAAAATGTTTTTATTTATAGAGAACATACGTTTCGGGTCTTGATTTGACCCATCTTCAGTGCTACAATTAAATAATTCAGGGTTACAAATTAAAACAATATAAAAAATACATAATTAACAGACAAAAATAAGTAAAACAATGTATATGAAAAGTATATATGAAAAACAACCATAAAATAAACAAATGTAAAGAAACTCACTATACAAATAAATTTTGAAAAACAACACAAAAATGTTCTTAAAATAAAAACATTTTTCATTAAAACTGTTTTTTTAATTACTGGATGGATGCTCAAGAAACAGTTTTGTTATTATATATATATATATATTACATATATATATATATATATATATATATATATATAAGAATTAGATTTTTTTGTTCGACGTTGAGACATATTTTGAATATTGATTTTCAGCCAATCGTCGAAATAAAAGAAAACAAATAAATAAAAATATTTATTTATAATATACGTTTCGACACGGATTGTGTGTCATCATTCAGCATTTAAAAGTTTAATATAATAAATTTATTTTATATTTAAAATAATGAAAGAATAAAAGATATACATACCACATCAGGAAGAAAACATTTTTTTTGATAAGTACATATAGAAAATAAACCATACATATATTACATATAAAGTAAATATAGAAAATAACATATTAAATGAACATGTTTGTTTTTCAATTTTAAAAACTGAAAATTTGTAAATTGTGTTGTAAATTCTGAGAAAATCGAACACATACGACGAAAAGTCACGTGACACACGTGACTAGTTATATATTTAGATATATAAATAATATCTAAAAATCAGCCAACCACATAAATAATTTTTGAATAAATAAATAACAAACAATAAAAATTTAATAACATTAACTAATTTTTACATAATCATTTCTACTAGGAAGTCATTTTCAAAAATATTAAATATCACATTTTCTTTCCCAAATTTTCCAGACACAGAACGATTTCTTTCCATTTCAAAACAACGTTTCGTCATTTCGCAAAAATATTCATACGTCTTAATTTTTTTTAATATCATACAGATTATCGACTTATTAATAAATAATGACTAGATGTATAACATAGACTACTAATTATATTTCTTTTACTTTTGGACCCGTTCTCGGATACATAACACACAAAATGTTATTGGGAATGACCTGTTTTGTGTAGTATGGAAACATGTGGCTATATATATATATATAATAGGTAACATCAAACAAGAGTGTTTAGGAGAGGGTTTCAGGGATAGTTAAACAGTAGGGACACAATTTTGAAAAATAAAACATAAAATCAAATAGACTATGAAACAAAAATAGTCAAAGATTTGGAAAATTATTTTTGGAAAAATTGATAATATTATATAAGAGTCATGTACTAGAAGAGCAGAACTTCGTTTATCAACGCAAAGGGGGTTTAAAAAGATAAATACGGATTCAGCAAATTTTCTGAGGTCAACATTCTTTTTCTCATGCAAAATAATTGGATTTTTGGTATTGAAAGTATGGTTTAAAATAATGACATGTTCCGAAAATATTGTCCTAAACTGATTTTTATTTTTTGAATTGCAAACTTTCACCAATGTAACAACAATTACAATCGTTACAATTTACTTTGTAAACAGAATCAGTAACACGCTCTAGCGGAGTTCTAGACTTTAATATATATTATATATATATATATATATATATATATATATATATATATATATATGTATATATATATACTAGCTGACCCGGCAAACGTTGTTTTTCCATAAAAAATATGTCTAGTATGAAAATAACTAATTGATTGCAAATTGGTATGGATAATATTAATAGTCTTTGCAAGAACCGACCTAACCTGAAACTGATTTTATTTATATCAATTAGCCAGTGGCGGATCCAGGGGATGGGTCTTAAGACTTAGATATAATACTAATTCAGCAATAAAATTACTTCATAATGATTTTATATATGTATTTTGTTACCAAACACATTTTATAACTTTCAATATGTAACTTATTATAGACGAACGGTGGAGTCGAAGTCTCCCAAAATTTAAGGATTTTCTAATCGTATTGCGAATACAATATGTTCTATACATAATTTAATTATGTGACCCCCCGGGCAACAAAGCTGGATCCGCCACTGCAATTAGCACATTTACAGTTTCAAGATTTTGATATATAATTACCTTCTCATACATTTACTAATTTGCATGCTTTTTACGCAGAAGTCAATCAAATTCTTTCATTTTGATCATTATTTGCTGCTTTTTTGTTTTTATGTGGCTTTTCCAAGTAAGTTTGCTATCTATTAAATATAGACCAAGATATTTTCACTACGTTCTGTTTCGGAATCTGGACGTTATTTAAATAAATAACGCATACACATGTACACACAAAACTAAATGCCAAAATATTTGAAGGAATTTGAAACGTAAATTTATGCAAAAATATGCTTTTTCGATTTTTTTGCGGTTAGTATAACCTACCTTTGCATTTTTTCCAATGTAGATCTCATCCTGTTTTCTTCAGATAGAAGAATTCCTTTCTCTCTCAATTTTGGAAGCACTTTTTCATTTTAAACCTTGTGAGTTCTTTTTATCTTCTCCAGAACCATATCTGGAAATCTTTTAGATAGTAGTTGTCAACTTTTGGAGAGCAAATATTAAAACATATGAAAACAAAATTTGGTTTCTATTTTACCTTAAATTATCTACAGACTTTGAAACCCATTTACTCTAATGGAGTGCTCTTAATTTGTTACCTTATTAGTTACCATTAATACATGCTTATTTATCACTTGTCAATTATTTTCAGGTTGTCAAACAAATGCCAACGATAGCCTCAAATCAGCAGCCAACAATAGCAGTGGTGACTGCCAATTATTGTGAAAAATTGGCAGTCGATGCCATGTTGGACAACAAAGAGACGTTTGTACGATACACAACTGTGGGTGAGTGGTAGTCATGTAATAATAAATATATATAATATCATCTATATATATATATATATATATATATAGATTATTTTAATATATTAACAATAACACTAGTAGAATTTGCACTTACTGCCTTTTAAGCACTTATGCAAATCCCTTGTCGAATTAAAAAGCTGAAGGCAAATCCCTTATCGAATCAAGGGAACTTTGGTTCAGACATTTTTTAAATTAGATTATCCAGTAACACATTTTTAAGGATAAGATGGCAAAGTGTAGAAACAGGAATTTTGCAAACGTTAACAAAAAAGGCTAAAGGGCACTTTAGAAAATTGGTAAAACGGTTATCGAGGGTACTTGTATCTTTTTAATTTGATTATTGTTATGGTGAAGATCATCCAATAGCAAAAGAATAATATTTGTGTGAGTAGATTATATATATATATATATATATATATATATATATACAAAGACAACAAAGAGACTTTTGTACGGTACACAACAGTGGGTGAGTGGTAGTCATGTAATAATAAATTAATAACATTATATTTATATATATATATTATATATATATATTAGGTTGTAAAATATCTCCCTTCCGCTTTTTTGCTCTTGGTTTATAATACAAAAAGGCGGAAGAGAGATATTTGACAACCTATTATATATATATATATATATATATATATATATATATATATATATATATATAGTGACATATAGAGATGCATATTGTAGATAGTGTCATTAGAGACAATAAACAAGCGATTAAAAACGAGGTTAATAGAGACTTGATCCAGAGATTTTTTTAATTATATATAAGGATAAGATGGCAAAATGCCCTGGCGATTTTTGATTTTTTTTTTCAACTAACATGATACATTATGTATAAGATTGTAAAAACAAAAAAATCCAGGAACTTTGGATCTTGATAAGATGACAAAGTATCGAATTAAGTAAATTTTGAATTATTTTAATTAACGTGATTGATTTTTATGAATAAGGCGACAATATGTCAACTTTAGTGCTATTATTTGATTCAGGGATTTTTGAATATTTTTAATTAAATAATTGCCTCATAAGACATTCTATGAACCTGATGGCAAAGTGTCGAATAATTGGTAAATTGATAAATCGATTAATTGATTTTTGAATTGTTTTGATTTTAACATAATCTAAATTATTAACAAAAACTGCGATATTTACAATTTAAAAGCAATAATCTATTTTTAATAAAATATTTTTTGAGAAATGCGATATTCTAACTGCGATATTTACAATTTCAAAGCAATAATCTATTTTTGACAAAATATTTTTTGACAACGCTAAAATTAAAATAGGTAAACGATTTAATATAATTTATTTTTCATTAATAGCAGCGTACATTTTTAGTCAGTCGACTTTTTGGACACAGTACATTTATATATTGACTTATTATATATATATATATATATATATATATATGTATATTAAAATTATGGCTAATATATTCAATAAATTAGTTTTCCTCAATATAACATTTTATGTTGACTAATTTTACATCTTACACATATAGCTAATATGGTATAACTTATATATATATATATATATATATGAGTGAGTTCTTGAGGGCGTACATCAACAAGAAAAGCCAAAGATTTATAAAATATCTTTATTCCAAACGTTTCGACATTCAATTAATGTCATCATCAGTGGATATTACGTTGGTTAGTTAATATAGAGAAGTGTACACAGCACTAGAGATTTGGCAATGGTATAGCAAAATACAGAAGTCGTGGCAGAAATTACATAATTCTACTTACATTTTTGTTCAATAAAACTATCCTTTTTCTGTTACATCATACAAAAAAATATATAAAAAAATGGCATAGTGCTGACAAGTTAGTTGTATAAATGTTAGTGCCAATCTCTTAGTGCTGTACACTCTATATGTAACTAACCAACTAATATCCACTGATGATGACATTAAATGAATGTCGAACGTTTGGAAATAAAGATTATTTTATAAATCTTTGGCTTTCTTTGTTTGATGTATCGCCAAGAACTCACTCAATATTTCAACATCAAAATTAACTATAATATATATATATATATATATAAATTATAATATTTGGTTAAATTTCTATCTTTCATATAATATATAATAATACCTCAAGGTAAAATGGTTATATTAGGTACATTCGAAGGCAAGCATGAATTATTTTTAAATAATTATTTAAAATTAATTATAACTGTTAATTAACATCAATTTACATTTTATTTATGAAAGTTTATAAAATAGTACTTAATACATATATGACTGTATGATGATGATAAGTCAATATAAATTCAAAATATAAACAAAAAATTAAATACATATTCAAAAATGATATTAGTTGCATCCTCGATAACTTAATTACACGTTTAAATTATTTGAATTTAAATAAAATTTGTAATAATAAATAATAATATAATACAGTTGCCAAAAAAATCCTTTATGAAAGTTAAATAAAAACTTATTTCTTCTCGTTACATGTAAGGAAATGCAAAAATTCACCATCGTTTATTTCTACATATTACATAATAAATTTTCAATATATATTTGCAACAATAATTTCTATATATATTATAATTTTTAATTGACTGATTATTTAAACATTTACAATAAGCAGTTTTTTTCTTAAATTCGGTCAAATTGTTCCATTTAATTTATTTGGACGTATTTTTAAAAGGCTTTTTACAAATTGGGGTTGGTCTTATACACAACTCATATTTTAGAAAACAGAGGAAAAATTGAAGATTTAAAGATTGGTTTCGTCTGCTGCTCACAGATTGAGAAACTTTGATATACATCATAAATTTTTTAAAATCGTATGAGCTTGTAGTAATCAGAGTTGATTCTTACTGCCTATATTTTGGAGAATTTTCTGATCTTTAAAATAATTTTAAAGTTTTGTCCATTTATTAACATAAATGCCTTAAAAGCGATCACAAGTTTGGGTTGACGTGGATCAAAGTCATTAATTGGAGTTGGTTTTATCCAAAATTCAGGTTTTGCAAAATTTACTCATCTATTATACAAACACCTTAAATATATAATCAAATTACCTTTTTTGTTGTGTACGTTTTGACACTGTATGTGTATCATCAATCAGCTTAATAAATTCTAGAAAATTGTTTACAAAGTTGGAAACAAAATTCACGAGATTGCTAAAAGATGTAACAAAATTATCAACACAACACAAACATTTTAAAGACATTATTTAATGAAAAAACACACCAATAAAATAAAATATTAAACAGAAAGTGAAATAATAAAATTATGTAGTTATTCACACGATTGACAAATTTTAAATGGACGACTAAGTGCAAACTAACGGGGTTCACAAAACATGATGCAGGATTGAGTTCTGGATTTTTTTGCGATTTTTAGTAGAAAAGAAGAGAATAAAACAAAAATAATACTAACATAATAAATACCAAAAACAGTACAACAGAAATAGTTGCTTTTGCCATCATTCTATCACTTTTTCCAATTTTTAGAAGTCGATCCTGGATCAAGTTTTTGTGAGCACTTTGGCGTGAAAGGTAATTTACTCAAGATATCGAATATTTTGGGAAATTCACTTGTTTGTAACATATATTACTTAAATTTTTTAAGATCTTGAAGTTGACTTTGACCAATTGTGTTAATTTCACCCACAACTCAAAAACAAGAGAAGTTTGAAGTTGACTTTGACCAAAACCTGACAATTAGTGTTGC